GGCCCCAAAAAACACGCAAGCACACAAAAGAAAAAGAAATCTTAAAGAGCTGCTGTGTATATATATTATATACCAGATTCTTCTTCATTATATAAATTTTACCTACACTGCCTGCCTACGGCATTATAAAAGCCGAAAAATCAACTCGGTGGGGAGAACTATGGGAAAAACAAAAATTTTTTGGCAAGAAATTGCTACACGAACTGGAAAAAATACACAATCTACAAAAATTCATCTTTATTATGATGTTGGCGGCGGAGTTTCACTTGGGTAGAAATGCATTTAATGAGGCTTTTGGCCGGGGGCACAAATTAAATTAAAATACTCACATATTTAGATTGTATAAAAATAAAAGGGGAAGTCTGTTTTTAAAGGCATAAAAGATACTTGCTTATTCATACAGAAAAGGTTTAAGATTTAATATACATTTTTGAAAATGATTTCTCTAGTTATTAATTATATTATTACCTAAGTTTTTACATGAATTTTTTTATGATTTATTTATTTAATTTTAGCTCTCACTCCTTAAAATTCCATCACTCCTTGCAGGAACCCTGAATGCCATTGCTATTAATTGAAATCAAACACTCAACAGTCAGTTACAAAAAAGCTGTCGCTGTGATTGGATTTTCTAGTTTGGCTTTTTGATATTGATTGCACCAGGTGGCTGCGTTCGTCCTTGTCCAAAGGATACCGCTTTAAGGAGAAAAAAATATCCATTCGCAATCCAAAATATATATTTTCTGGGCGCAAGACAATGCAATTCAATTTTTTCTACGCCACACAAAATGAACAGCCAAACACTCGGCTGCCTCCCTTTCGGAAAGCAATTCTATTTGATGGTGTAAAACTGTTTGAATGTGAATTAATAGGATTAGAATGAAATGACTTTCAAATGGGGTTGGTTGTGGGGGAAGTAAATAAATTAAAGTGCTTTTTGCCATCGAATCGAATGCAAATGTTGATACACAAAAGGACTCCAGAAGGAGCACACAGAGCTGACAGAGTTGATATAGGAGCAATCAGATTAGTTGCCTTTAAAAAATATTTCCGCATGTAGCGGCAGCAGCAGAAGCATTTTAATTATCGCAATTCCCCAGGGCGCAGTTCAACTAATTGCCCTCCCCAGAGGGTGAGATTTCTGGAATGGGTGTACTTTTTCGGGGGTTGTGTTGTTCCAATGTCACAATTAAACTATGGCCCCAGCCAAAGGGCCCGAAAATTTCCACCCAAAGCAGTGACAGAAATTTGTTTGGCTAAAATAATTGGAAACACTTTAATGTACATAAAAATACTTTTGAATTTGGAATGCTAGAATCAATATCAATATTTTTTTGTGACTATATATGAAGCAATCTATATTTAAGCAATGCCATACACATATTACGTTTGATATATCGGATAAGTTTCGGTCTATAAAAAACCCATAATATTGTAGTTTTAAAGGTTACCAATGATCAAGTATATGAAATATATTTTACAGTATTTGTTTAAATATTTAATAACTTTAACGATAACTGCATCATTCTTGAAATTCAGTAGATCCAATCTAACAATATTTTCAATATAATAAATGAAAGCGATATTTATTTCTATATATCATATATTTTTAAGCTTTCAATATATTTTTAAAATATTTCAAAAGCTATCTTAGAATTTCTACAATTAATTCTATACATTTAAACCAAATACCTTGATAAATTATCCCTTTTCCTTAATAAATTGCATTAACAATAGAATAACAACATATATTTCCCAGTGTATAGACACACTTTTTGGGCCATGGCTTTCGTTGTCCTTATCAGTAACTCAAATTGGCAAAACTGCCTCGGTACCCCTAATAAGAATCCACAGAAAAGAAACAAAAAAAACATACCACAAAGCGATGTACAAACTGAAAGCCAGAAAGAGGCGCGTGTTGGCTTTGTCCTGGGAAAAAATTAGGCATTCCGTGCGAAATGTAGATACGAGATAATCATTTTAATAAATTTCACAGTGACAAATGACTCGGTCCCTCTCTATTTATCTAATCGTCCTTCGCCTGTAGTTCCGTCTCTATATATTAGTCCTTTGTCGTTGTTGCCGGAGGCGTGAATTAGTAATAAGTGATGCTATGGCTATGTCTTGACTAATTGATGTGGTTACTTATTTTTCCAGGCTGTTGGGTAAAAACATGTCTTTGAACTTTTAGTTGTATTTAATGATATAGAGCGATAAATTAAGAAAATAACACCACATTTATATTCCAGTTTTTAAACTACCTAAACAAATATATAAAATGTAAAAAGTACCAAGTACGTAAATCTAACATCATTTTAAAGGAATTCGGACCACATCAGGAGGGAACCCGTTTAGGAAAAACTAACAGAAATTAAATTATTTCTCATATCTCCTCCTAAAATACTTCCTCTGTTCCGTTTTTTAATAATTCCGGTATTCCCCCTTATTTACTGGCGTTTATCAGTCGAATTCGTTTGGAGAGAATATAATGATAAGGTCAGTTATTACTACCTTTACTAAATATATTAGTACAGGTCTTTGCAAAATTCCTGCTAAACTGTCTTCATTTTTACGACTAAGGGCAGATAATGATTATTATTTATGAGATGACACAAGTACGTCTTCACGTGTATACAAAATCTGTCTCAGATTAGATAAATACGATAAGATACGAAAATTGAAAACAAGCAATACCATTTGTCTGTTAAAGAAAATGTTGTTTCAGTCTTGAAAGTCTCATAGACCAGTCAAGATGCTTCTCCCTCTTTTGTTTGCTTTATTAATTTCAAATTGTTCTGCCATCCAAAAAATAAACGAAGTATGTTCTGTTTTGGCAATATGTGACAATATTGCATTAATAAGATCACAAGTGGCGGATATTCGGTAAGTTTTTAGTGTGATTTAATTTTAAGAAAAAAAAATCAAATTCCAATTATAGCGAGGAGCAAGAACGTCAGGCAAATATTTTGGAAGGTTCTGCTCTATCTCTTGAGTCTGCAAAAGTACCAAAGAAATTTATCACCAAAACAAATGACGAAGTGTGTTCTATTTTATCAATATGCAACAATCTAGCAGCTTTAAGCTCGGAGCTGGCTGCAGTGCGGTAAAGATTTCAACACATTTAACAATTTATAAAAATATATTTGTTATTTATTACCCATTGTAGGGCAGAGCAAGAACGTCAAGCAGATCTTTTAGAGAAGTCCTGTAAGGCGGACAAAAATCCTCATCCTGCAAATTGTCATGAAGCCTTAAAGGAAACTCCTAAAAGCGCGTTACTGAGATCCTTGTGCCAGAGTACAGTAAAAACCCTTTAAGGTGGCCTGCGATCAGGAGACTCATGGCGGGGATGGACAATCATCTTAAGGCGAACTGATGGCGAGGACTTCTTCCGCGAATGGAAGGACTATGAAGAGGGCTTTGGCAGAGTGGATAAGGAATATTTCGTGGGATTGGCAAAGCTGCATGCATTGACCTCTTCGGTACGCCAGGAACTTCTGGTCATCGTTAAAGATGATGCTGGAGAGCGTTACGCTATGTACGACAATGTCAGGATCGGCGGAGAGTCCAACAATTACACCTTGGAATCGCTGGGATTTTATTCTGGCACCGCCGGTGACGCTCTCAAATATCACGAGGGAATGCAATTTTCCACCAAAGATCGCGACAATGACATTCACGAAACCCGTCACTGTGCCGTAGAATATACGGGTGCCTGGTGGTACCGTTCTTGCTATGATAGGTAACTGTCAAGTACTACTTTCATTTCTTATTTAATTTCTTATGTGTTGTTATTTAGCAATTTGGCTGGTCTCTATAGTAAATCGAGTTATGGTGGCACCATACGCTGGTATACCTCTTCACATATTGAAGCGCTAAAAAATGCAATAATGATGATAAGGCCAAGAGCCGGAGAACCTCAAGGGTAACAACTGGAACTCATCCTATATGACTCGATATTATTCGGAGAAGTTCTACACTATTGCCATCGGAATATATATACTCAAATGATTATCCATATATGTTTATAGGCATTTAAAATTGGTATTTCTGTAAATAAAAATACATTTACTAAGAAGAAAATAATTATTATATAATATCTGATAAAAAATATGATGGCTACTAAATAGGGTTTTTAGCTTCAAGATACTAAAATTGTTGTAACATTTTGTAGTTACTTAAAGTGCTATAAATATGAAATGGGACAATCTCCTTATTTTGAATTAAAAAATAATAAAAATAATATTTTTTTAGAATACCTTTAAGTCTTAGCTTCATTCTAGTAAGTGACTGTCTCGTACACATTTTCAGGTTTCTGCCCTACCGGAGGTTAGCATTCAGTCAAAACAGCTTCACATTGCAAAAGGTGTGTGAATCCTGGGATTTGGAGACCGCATAGGAAAGGAAATGCTCCTGTTGGCCAGAAGCTGTCCATGCACGATAGGGGCTCTGGGGATTTAGGCGTATTAAAGTCGGCACAATTGGCCAGGAGGAGAGGGTCCTCTCGAGACAATATAGCTTAAAGCAGCTGCCATTGCAAAACATCAGACGGGCATCCATTTCGAATTGGGTTTCCAAATTGAAGGTGTTCGTATACCGATACCGGCATCTGAGAGACGGAACAGCTGCTGAGTAAGGAACTTAAAGCAAATGGCGGCCATGGCGATTTCCGGTATGGGTAACACTGTGTCAAAGTGCCCATTGCGCTGATCATAAAAATGTAAAACGTAGAAAACATATGTAAACTCTTCTAGAAATGTGTAAAACATCGATGTATCGATAAAGATATATCTCAGGTTATCGGCTTATCGATAGTTATAGAAAATTGTGGCTACCGGCGACAGCTTTTTTCAACACTGACAGTTCCTTGCCACGTGCGTGCGACGCAAAGATATTATTTCAACTTGAGCTTACTTTCATAATTTTTGGGTATGTCTGACGTGAATCCAAAAAAAATTAAGCTAGAAACTGAACCGGAGGCACCACAACCTTCTGGTAAGATGGATTTTGAGAAACCCAGCATTCTCAAGATGCGACGCGCCGATCTAATCAAAGAAGTTCAAGATGAACGCCAAAAGAAAGAGCAGCTGATGGCGGACTTCAAACGTGATCTGGATATGGTCAACAAGAAAAATGAGGTGTTGACCGCCGAGAGGGATTCCTTGCTGCAGCAAATGTCCAAGAATGAGGCTCAGAACCAGCAACTGCTTGAGCCCAATCCGTCGCAGCCATCCGGAGTAAAGAATGACGACGGGCCGACCACCGAGATGGATTCCTTGCGGCAGCAGTTGCAGCAGGAGATCGCCAAGAGCGAGGCACTGCGTCAGCAAATGCTGAAGCACGAAGAGTTGCAGAAGTCCATGGAGCAAAATACCATTCAGATGCAGGAGATGTCGGAGAAGATCGAGGAGCTAACCCGTCAGTGCAAAGTTTCTGAAGATGGGATGAAAGCTTTGGACCTACAGCTGGAGAAAATCAACTATGAGAACTCCTGCGCCATTTGCTTGTTGCCGTGGGAGGCGCAGGGAGACCATCGCATTATCTCACTGCACTGCGGCCATGTCTTTGGAGAATATTGCATCCTGCAGCACTTGGAGCGTAATTCACGGTGCCCATTGTGCAAGCAGAACGTTATGCTTGGTGACATGCGATATCTCTTTGGATCCCGCCTTATGCCGGTAGGACGTTCGGCTTCTCAAGCATTAGTGAATGCCCCAGCAGTACACAATGCTCCAGCAACTCAAGATGCTCCAGTAGGACAGAATGCTTCTGCCCCTCCAGTTCTTCAGGTTCAGGTTACTCCAGTACAACCGTTTCGACGTCACTCAGCCCGTTTACAACAACAGGCAGCTCAGTTGACTTCACAACAGCAATTGCAGCCGGCTCTTCCAGGACAGCTTGGTCCACGTCCAGTACAGCGGATTCTAGCAGCCCTTCCACCGACTCCAGCTTTAGGCTTGGATCATGCTGCAGGAGGGCAATTGGTACCACAAGCTTCAGGATCTCAGATGAATCCACGTCCAGTACGTGTCCAGTATCTTCCAGGATATCAGGATGGTCAAGATCTTATTGTGCTGGTAGATTATTGACACCTTGGTTTATTCAAATGTAAAACAATGTTGAGCTTTTTGTTCAAATTTTTCTCCCTTCTTTTGAATTATTTAACTTTCACATGAAATTATCCATCAACATCATTTCATTATCAATGTAATCAATATTTTGGCATTTCCGCTTTCTGAATAACAAAAAAAAACTGGATGGTAACAATCAATTTATAAAAAGACTTTTCACTCCTATAACTACAAGTGATCTTAAAGAAAAAATCTCTAAAAAGATTTAAACAAAAAGAAGTCGTAATAATGAATCAAGGAGCAAGATAAATGGCATAGAAATGTTAATCAAAGGGAAAAGTTCTGTACTATAAACTTTGATACATAGAAATTAAAACAAAATCAAAAAGAAACATTTAAAATTTAAATATTGATACTATCGACAAACTCATTGAAATGTTATTTAATTTTGGCCTGTATCCTTTCCGAGTACAAGAGAACATTATATTACAATTTATGCCTTGTAATTCCAAATAAAATCTATAATAATCTAAATAAAATAATAATTTATCTCCTATTTTTATAAACAGATATTAGGCCACATTTAGCAAAGTGTATAAAAAAAGACAAGTTCGTTTATAGCTGTATAATAACGCGATTAGATACTCAGTCTTCAACCTCATTACTTTAAAGCATTTAATTGTTTGAGATATAATTTTGACTGTTATTCATAAATCCGACATCAAACACACTCAACACACGCAGCTTGGCACATCTATATATCTTTCTGACTCAATAATGGAAATGAACTGTAGACTTTAGTTCAATTTCCGATGCAAGACGATATATTTTAGTTACCACATAGCTATGAAATAATATTCTTAATCATGCTTAAAAAAAAAACATATTCTATTAAAGCGAATTCGGGTACTTCCCTTGCAAAGAGTTTTATGGATTTAACATATTATCACCTGCGGTGATATAAAATAATGATTAAATCCGTTTCTAAGAAGGCTATATAATATGCGATTAGATAAGAACAAAACGATTATTTAAATGGCAGTTAGCAGAAACGATGTTAGTCTTCAAACTCATTTAAAGAAGTCAAGATGCTCCTAGGTGTATTATTTTTATTTTTAATTTCAAACTGTTATGCAGTTCAAAATTTAAACGAAGTATGTTCTATTTTGTCAATTTGTGACAATATTGTATTAATAAGATCACAAGTGGCGGATATTCGGTAAGTTTTTAATATGATTTAATTATTATTTATTTTTAACAATTAATCGAGTTCCAATTCTAGCGAGGAGCAAGAACGTCAGGCAAATATTTTGGAAGGTTCTGCTCTATCTCTTGAGTCTGCAAAAGTACCAAAGAATTTAATCACCAAAACTAATGACGAAGTGTGTTCTATTTTATCAATATGCAACAATCTAGCAGCTTTAAGCTCGGAGCTGGCTGCAGTGCGGTAAATACTTAAACAGATTTAAAGATTTTAAATTGATTTATCTGTTTTTTTAATAACAATTGTAGGGCGGAGCAAGAGCGTCAGGGAGATCTTTTGGAGGAGTCTTGTAAAACAGAAACCGATTCCGTTCCCGCAAATTGTTACGAGGCGTTGAAAGACTCTCAGATAAGCGGCGTTACTGAAATCCTTGTCCCAGAGTACAGTAAGAACTCCTTTGAGGTGGCCTGCGATCAGGAGAGTCATGGCGGAGGGTGGACAATTATCTTAAGGCGAACTGATGGCAGCGAGGACTTCTTCCGTGAATGGAAGGACTACGAAGAGGGCTTTGGTCACGTGCACAATGAATACTTCGTGGGATTGGCCAAGCTGCATGCATTGACCTCTTCGGTTCGCCAGGAACTTCTGGTCATCGTAGAGGACGAAGCAGGAGAACGCTACGAGATATACGACAATTTCAGAATCGGGGGAGAGGCCAACAATTACACCTTGGAATCGCTGGGATATTATTCTGGCACCGCAGGTGACGCTCTCAAATATCACGAGGGAATGCAATTTTCCACCAAAGACCGCGATAACGACATGGCTATAGATATGAACTGTGCGGAAGGATTTTCTGGTGCCTGGTGGTACCATTATTGCTTTAATAGGTAGGTTTATCAAGTCCAATATTATGTTCGTATTTCATTCGAATTTCCTATTGTTTAGCAACTTGGCTGGTCTTTACGACAACGAGTATCGCCTAGGATACTTACGCTGGAATACCCCGAACTTCAATAAAGCATTAAAGACGGCAATTATGATGATAAGGCCCAAAGCTAGTACCCTCTGAGGATAACACCTCTGTGTGTACCCTGAAAGAGTATAATAAATAATATATTCTTTACAGTTTTTTATTTAAATTGATTGCTTTATCTCGATCATTGAGAATTTCCAGTAAATTTTTAATTCAAAATATTGGCATAGAATTTCTAGGGCTCAGTTAATTATTTTTTTGGGTTACAGAATTAGAATACCCTCAGCAAGTGTAAAATAAATTAAGCGATTAGATAATATGAATAAATTCAAAACAAAATTCTGTCCGATTTAGGAACTTGACTTGCCACAAATTAATATCATTCAATAAATAATACAAGCACTTGTTATAATGGTAAAACATATTCTAATTATATGAGTAAAACACCCATTTTAATCATAAACAAAAATATACATAATTTACAATATATTAAGGTTTTTATGTATGTTAAGGTATAATTGTACTTAGCAATGTGCAATTTAGAAGCCACCCAAGAGATGCATTTAAATTTGAAACACCGATGGCGTTTTTAACAAGATATAAAAACCATATAAATACTTATTGATTAAGCATACATAAATTCAATAATAATAGTACCCTCTGCAAGGGTAGTTAATAAAAATATAGATAATTTTAAAGGGATAAGATAAGAATTTCGCAGCATAAGCCGTTCCATGTGATTTTGACGTTTAATTAATGAAATGTTGCTCAGTCTCTAAAGACTTTTAGACAAGTCAAAATGTTGCTCGCTCTAGTTTTTGCTTTATTAATTTTAAATGGCTTTGCCATCGAAACTAAAAACGAAGTATGTAGTCTTCAGTCGATTTGTGACAATATTGCAGAAATAAGATCGCAAGTGGCGGATATTCGGTAAATATTTAATAATTACGATTAAATGTATATCATTTTAAAACGATTTAAATTCCAATAATAGCGAGGAACAAGAGCGTCAAGCTAATATTTTGGAGGGCTTCTCCTTATCCAAGACAGGGCTTGAACCAACGGCTTTTACCAGCAAAAATAATAAAGAATTGTGTACTATGCAATCGATATGCAACAATCTAGCAGCTTTAAGCTCGGATCTGGATGCACTTCGGTAAATATTCAATCAATTTAATTATAAAGTGTTACAAATGTCTTTCTTATGCACATTTAGCGATGAGCAAGAGCGTCAGGGAGATCTTTTGGAGGAGTCTTGTAAAACAGAAACCGATTCCGTTCCCGCAAATTGTTACGAAGCATTGAAAGACTCTCAAATGAGCGGCGTTACTGAGATCCTTGTACCAGAGTACAGTAAGAACTCCTTTGAGGTGGCCTGCGATCAGGAGAGTCATGGCGGAGGGTGGACAATCATCTTAAGGCGAACTGATGGCAGCGAGGACTTCTTTCGTGAATGGAAGGACTACGAAGAGGGCTTTGGTCATGTTCCCAATGAATACTTCGTGGGATTGGCCAAGCTGCATGCATTGACCTCTTCAGTTCGCCAGGAACTTCTGGTCATCGTAGAGGACGAAGCAGGAGAACGCTACGAGATCTACGACGATTTCAGGATTGGCGGAGCATATAACAATTACACCTTGGAATCGGTGGGATCATTTTCCGGTACCGCCAGTGAAGCTCTGAAATATCACGAGGGAATGCAATTTTCCACCAAAGACCGCGATAACGACCTTTCCATAAATTTAAACTGCGCAGTTTACTTTGAAGGTGCCTGGTGGTACAAGTCTTGCTTTCAGAGGTAGTTTTAACAAGTCCCATATTTTGTTCAAAATTAAATTGAATATCTTATTATTTAGCAACTTGGCTGGTCGCTATGATAGGTATCGTCAAGGACCCTTACGCTGGAACAACCCTCAATATAGAAATCCATTAATGACTGCAATTATGATGATAAGGTCAAGAGCTAGTGCCCTCAGGGGATAACACCTCTGTAGGAGTATCTTTTTAAGGTGGGAGGTGAGAGTATCTTTTTTAATAAAAACCTATCATCTGTAATTTGAACACGGATGACATTATATCACAGATATAAATACATTTTAAAAAGTAACTATTTAAATATATATAAATTCATTTTATACAACTCAATATTAATAATCATTGTACCCGCTGCAAGGGTATACGAAATAATAAAGATAAGATTGAGGGGATTAGATAGGAATTTTGCAGCATAAAGCATTCTAGAGGATTTTGGAGTTTCATTATAGAATTATGGCTCATTCTCTAAAGACTTTCAGAGAAGTCAAAATGCTGTTCGCTGTATTTCTTGCTTTAATAATTTCAAATGGTTTTGCCATTGAAACTAAAAACGAAGTATGTACTCTTCTGTCGGTTTGTGACAATATTGCATTAATAAGATCGCAAGTGGCAGATGTCCGGTAATTATTTAATACTTATTATTAAATATATCTAATTTTATAATAACTTAAATTCCAATAATAGCGAAGAGCAAGAGCGTCAAGCTAATATTTTGGAGGGCATATCCTTACCCAAGACAGCGCTGGAACCAAAGGCTTTAATGAAGGAATTGTGTACTATGCAATCGATATGCACTAATCTAGCTGATTTAAGTTCAGAATTGGCTGCTGTTCGGTAGATATGTAACCTTTATTAAACTTTTTATAATTAATTGTATTTGAATGCTAATTCCAGGGCGGAGCAAGAGCGTCAGGCAGATCTTCTAGAGGAGTCCTGTGAGACGGACACAGGTCCTCGTCCCGCTAATTGTTATGAAGCTCTGGAGGAGTCGCAGAAAAGCGGCGTTACTGTGATCCGTGTGCCCAAGTACAGCCAGAAGTCCTTTAAGGTCGCTTGTGATCAGGACACTAATGGCGGAGGATGGACAATAATCTTAAGGCGAACGGATGGCAGCGAGGACTTCTACCGCGAATGGGAGGACTACGAAAAGGGATTTGGCCTAGCTGATGGTGAATACTTCGTGGGATTGGGCAGGTTGCATGCATTGACCTCTTCGGTTCGTCAGGAACTTCTGATCCTTATGGAGGATTATGAAGGAGAGCAGCGCTACGAATTGTACAATAATTTCAGGGTCGGTAGTGAGGCCAAGAACTACACTCTAGAATCGGTGGGATCTTTCTCGGGCACCGCCGGCGACTCATTGACATATCACAAGGGAATGCAATTTTCCACAAAGGATCGCGATAATGACATTCACGAAACCATTCACTGTGCTCAACATTTTAAAGGTGCATGGTGGTATCGTTATTGTCAACTTAGGTGGGTATCTAGTCTCCTCTTCTGTTATTAATTTATAACAATTCCCCCCTTATTTAGCAACTTGGCTGGCGTATATGAAGAAACTAATTTTGGAAAAAGCGTACACTGGTATAGCTTTAACGGATTTGATGATTCACTGAAAACTGCAATTATGATGATACGACCAAGAGCTACATAGTTCGCTAAAGTAACACCTCTGTGTACAAGAAAATAATTTTTTTTGATAAAAAGCTTACACTGGTTCATGTCATTGGACCTCAGTAAGAGATTATAAAGTATTTAAACAGCTTATTTTATAATAAAAAAAAAATAAGTACATACTTTAATAAAAAACATAGTGGTTTCTTTCGAAAAAGTATTGTAGTGATAGTAATTTTTAATTGATTTTTATTACCTATTTGTGTGATTTCCGCAGAACGTTTTAATAGTCACTAAATTAATAAGATTAGATACTGGAATATGCCACTTCGTAGCCACCAGATTAATATTTATGGCCATACTAATTAAGCACTTTAATTTAAGGCATGTTGCTGCTTGGGATCTTAAATTAAATGTTATCAATTAATCGTCTTGGCATTTAAAGTGAAAAACTATGATTCCTAACATATAATATATATTATATATATATACCTGATCAGCCTCAGCAGCATCTTTCTAGATATGGCTACCTCTCTCTCTCTCTCTCTCTCTCTCTCTGTGTATCTCTTTCCCTCTATCCCTCTTTGCCTAGCTCTAGAGATACCTCTTTCTCTCTAGCTCTCTCTGCCTCTCTCTAGTGTTCTCTTAACTCGGAGAGTATAAATAGAGCCGCTTCAGCCGCATCGACCTCAGTCTGTCCGTGACCTTCCCAGTGCTTACATCTATTGTGATAGTGCGTAGTGATAGTGATTAGTGATAGTGATTACCCCAGCAATACCCGCTGACCAATGCAATCAGGAAGAAGCTCACTACGATGACACTATGGACAAGCCTCATTGAAGTCAACAGGAATATATCTCTACACTGTAAGAAATTAATCAACGACGAATAAGGATAACCATGTGACCTCTACTGCGGTAAAAAAATTTTAAAAAATTTAAAAATTTTAAAATTTAAAAAATTGACAAAATTTTAATTCTTTTAAATTAGTAAACACAGTATCCAGATTTATTATCCTAACAAAAACTAACACAGAGCAGTTTTCCGAATTGAAATTAATGCTTTTTTGGCTTAGATATGCTCAAAATATATTTACACCGCTGCGTATACGTAATTTTTTTTTACTTGTACGAAATCTATTTCATATAATATAATTTTAGTCAGAAGCCTAAAGCGATGTAAAGGAATTGTTTCCGACCCTATAAATCATATATGTTCTTAATCAGCATCAAAAGGCGAATCTATCTAGCTAAGTTAGAAGAAAAAAAAAATTCGAAATTTTTTTCAACATTTTATAGAGGGTTTTAAGATCTTTAAAATTTAAAAAAACTGACAAAATTTTAATTCTTTTAAATTAGTAAACACAGTATGCAGATTTATTAACCTAACAAAAACTAACACAGAACAGTTTTCCGAATTGAAATTTAGGCTTTTTTGGCTTAGTTATGATCAAATACTATTTACACCAGGGCGTATACGTGATTGTTTATCTTTGGCTTTGTGATGATTGATTTCACATGATCCTATGGGTTATTTTTTAATAAAATCATAACTTTAAAACAAGAAAGGAAGCTAACTTCGGCACGCCGAAGTTTATATACCCTTGCAGATAGAACTTCTATGAATAGGAATCCATACAATATAAATTATATATATTTGTGTTAAAAAACAATGAAGTAATACCTGCTTTCATTTCATTCACCTATACATATTATATTTGCAGTTTTACATTCACTGATTTGCATTTTTCCTCCACATCAAACGATCGTTTGTATGGCACCTATATGATATAGTCGTCCGATTTTCATGAAATTTGCCACAAAATTTAAGACTTATATAAAATGGCTATACCTCAAATTTGATGAAAATCAGCTGAAAACTAAAAAAGTTATAAATTTAATTGTATTAATTTCTCGATCGTTCATATGGGAGCTATATGATATAGTAGTCCGATTTTTATAAAATTTCGTACAAAATTGAAGAGTATAGTAAAATGGCTATATCTCAAATTTGATTCAATTCTATTGAAAACTGAAAAAGTTAAAATTTTTTTTGTAAAAATTTTCCGGTCATTCCTATGGCAGCTATATGATATAGTCGTCCGATCCGGCCCGTTCCGACATATATACGAGTGAGAGTATATACAAGGCTAACTACAAAGTTTCATTCAGATAGCTTCAAAACTGAGAGACTAGTTTGCGTAGAAACGGACAGACGGACAGACGGACAGACGGACATGGCTAGATCGACTCGGCTGTTGATCCTGATCAAGAATATATATACTTTATATAGTCGGAGGTGCCTCCTTCACTGCGTTGCAAACTTCTGACTGAAATTATAATACCCTGCAAGGGTATAAATATGTTTTAGTTATTCCATAGCATAGTTTTCTTTCCTTCTCCTTGAGTATCATCGGCTGTTAGCTTGCCGCACATTTCAGCAACCGAAAATTAGTGCCGAAGATAGAGAGCAGCTGCTGGAAAGAATTGCCGGATGTGTGTCGAGTGTTTTTAATTTTCGCTTGAACAGTTTTACTTCCGCTTGCCGCGCTCAGCACACCCCCTTGGACCCCTTAAAAGTCAATTGTTTGCTTGGCGCATTATGCAAATTATGGAACTACAGAAGGAAAACTTTTAGTTGTTTTGGCACAGCTGTTGACAGTTGCCTGCCATTTTTTTTCTGTTACGAAATATGAAAAAATATATATAATAAAAAAACAAATAGCTATACGTATGCCAATATTTCTCAGGTTTTATTTGATATATATATATAAGGGTTTGTATAATCATAGACTTAGGGGTCTAAATACAATTCGATTCGATTCGTAGAAATGATGCAGCGCCGCGGCGGTAGAAAAGTTATTACCACAGTTAATCGTAGATCTACACCTAAGCTACATAATAAATATGCCATAATAATTATTAATAGTTACCGTATATATGCTCGAAATAAATCTATATTTTTGGATGCTCTCATGTGTGATTCATACTTAAAACAGTATTCAATATGCAATCAATCGCTTATCGAAATTTTGGCCCGATCAATTCGCTCGTTTTTGGATGTGACAATGAAAAATACATAATAACAAATAAACAAACTGGCGATTATAGCACACATAAATACATATACATACATATATCTAGGTTCTAACAAATTCGTTGGACAAAACAAATAATATAAAATATCGCATAAATAATTCGTGACTTCTGTGTGTATGTGGACTGTAATTGCAATTAAATCGAAATGTGCTCGATTGCTTTGTGTACTTTGTATTTTGGTTTCTTTGAGTGTATCTGTGTATTTACATAAATGAACTACAAACCTAGAAAAATGAGTGTGTGTTTATGAGTAAGGAAATATCAACAAATCATACATTTCTCATGTATTTGATGCAAGTGCGTGTGTGTGTTGGGGAAACCCAAACATTTTTGGCCAGGATTATCCAGAAAGAGTCCCGAGTCCAGGTTCTTCTACAATTTTAAGCCAATGGCGTCGGGGACATTGTGGCACGTGTCGTTCTGGTCGGCGATTTGGTGGGCGTGGCAGCTCCGCTGCTATTTCCACTGCCACAGCCGCCATTTCCATGGAGTCGGAAAAGTTCACCCACTGTGATGGCCACCTGAACGGCACCTTTTCCCTCCAGCACGTCGGCAGCACAGCAAATTAGATTCTACAAAAATAAGATTTACAAATGGATTGGGTTTTAATTTTAAATTCGGTCCACACAATGGATTTTATGTCCTTACAGCGGAAGATCAAAAGAGAAAAATTCAGTTTAAATGAAAATTTAAAAAGTAATCTATGAAAAACTTTTAAATTCTAAAAGTATTCTCGCGATTTATTCTTCTTTGGTGAAATATGAAAACTATTTATATTTAAAATGTTTTTTAAAGCGTATTCAAATATCCCTTATTACTTGAGTTATTGTAACGAAATACAGAACATATTTAAACCCAAACTAATATTAACAATTCAAATAACTTTTTAAAATATATTTATATATATATTTATATACTTATTTAAGTCAATATTTTTCTCTTTTGATCATTTTTAATTTATTTTCATATTTTTTCGACTTTAATTTCCCAGCAAAGCAAAGTTTTGAAGTCAGTGGTAGGTGTCTTGGCTACAAAGAAATTTCCCTGTTTACCAACTTAGCAAAGTCACAATTACTCTCAAACTTTGACTGCTAAGATAAGCAAATTACAACTTAAGCGAAACATACATTTTGGTATATATCCCATATATTTTTCTCATTGATTTCACTTGTATGTATATATAGCGTTTAGTTGACAGTTTGTGCTTAAATTTAAATGCAACAGTTTCCGTTTATTTTAATATTTTCATTTGGTTTTGGAAGTAAATGCATGGAAAATTCGGACAAACTTTTGTTTTCATTTGGCTTTAAACTTCATTTGGGAGATTTCATTAATATGTATTCTTTCTGTATAGATTTATGTAATTAAATACTTGTTTCATATAAAAATTAATGACTGATTATATAGATGTCTCAATACAATTTCGTTTTTCACTTTAATAATTTTGTTAGACAAAATATATATTTCTGATTTTAGATAAATATATTTATATATGTTTATCGTATTTCTTTTCTGAGAGTTTGAGATTGTGCTTCTTGGAGAAATTTGATTAGCTTTCGTTTAATTTCGTTTAAGTACAATTTTTGGGGCCTTAAGTTAGTTAAATAAAGTTTGATTACAATATATCATAATATTAGGAATGTTGTTAGCACAAATTGAAGTTTAACTTAGTAAACTTAATTGTAAATGAAAAGCGAAGAGAATAGCGTTCAGTTTTTGGAAATGTATCAGTGACAAATTATTGCTTGAGAGAAGAGTGAGTGTTGATACGATATAAGCAGCTGTAGGTTATAGGCAGACTGGACTGTAGTCGATCCTCCAGTCAAAGGCACTATTTTGTGATTTCTTCATATTCGTTTAAGAGTTCTTTCTCATGTAAGATTGTGTGAAATTGTTACAAATAGTGTGTGATGTGATTTTTTTTTTAAATCTTGTGCATTTTTTTCTTTGACACATTTATTTGTACATCAAAAATGCATTAAGAAAGATAAATACTACAAAATGAATTAGGGTTTCGATTGAACAAGTTGTGTGTTTAGTTATTTCATAACTTGACTTGGAATATTCCCTTTGAAATTGGTACATTGGTTGGCTTTTATTAATATTTGTTTCCTCATCATTTCTATTAACTATTTCACGCTTTTCTACAACTATTTAGAGTGTCCCTGCCTTCAAGTAAAACCATACAACATCAACTTCCTCCAATAGCATCCTATCGGAATTCATTGCCTCTCAAACTGTAACAATTCTCTTTGCCATTTTTCCTGTTTTAAGCAACTTTTATATATATATATTGTATCATCTACCTATGACTATAAGTAATATAATTCACTTTTATTTTGGGGTTTCATTTGTCTTCCTTGTTAAAATGAGAACTTAAATCGTTTAGTTTCGTTGTAACTTAAGTTGTATGAATATAATGAAATAAAGCGTATTGTTAATGTATTTTATGTTTTTCAGTTCAGTTCACGAGCAAATGAAAATGTCGTCGAAAGATCCTTAATCCAATTTAGAGTTCAATATATCTTGAACTAGGAATATGTGATTAATTGGGGGTGTATAGTATAAAAATACTCTTCTTAAGAAATTACTGTCTTAGGGGTAAGCACAACTGCAGGCGATTAAAGGTAACTAAGTTGATAGTCAAGTAAATAATAGTTGTATTTAATATTATATTATTTTTAAGATGATAAGCTATAGCTAAGAAATGAAGTTGAAGCAGTAAACATAAATAAGTCTATCGACACTTAAATATAAATATAAATAAAGTCATTATAGGATAATCAAAAGTAGTGTAAATTAATATAGAAAATATTGTTTCAAAAGGAACTTCAGATTGACTTTTCTTGTATTTTTGTTCTTTATAAAGATATAGTAAGATAGTAAGACTTCTTATCCTCAATTGAGCTTACCCCTAAAACCAACCAAAAGGTGTAACTTGACTGCTTTACAATTTCAAAGTCTTTGGGTTGTCTCTCAATTTAAATGCCTCAAAAGTTGCCTGGGTTTCCTCTTAGTTTAACATTTTTGGGTATACAGAATACATCATAAATACGGGTTTTATAAGCCTAGGAAAGCAGTAAATAAAAAGCAGCCTCAAAAACTCACTACCAAAGTGAAAAGAGAAGCGCAAAAGCGACTCTAACTCTCTCTATGTTCTTCGATCTTAAAACACTAATGGCAAGCCAAAGGCGATTATATAGATTATCCGGGAAGCGGGAAAAAGACCAGCCAAAGGAAGGTCGCTATGAAAACGCACGACAGGATTACGGTCAGGGTGTGGGAATCGTGCTTTAATAATATTGAAGTTCCAGCTTCGTTTTCCTTGGCTTTTAACTTATGATCCAGCTGCTGCTTGTCCTTATCCTTGGGTAAATAGATGCTGAATACCTCCAGCTTCTGTTTGCCGTTTCTTTGCTGCTCAAAGAACTCGATGCGTTTGCTGATTGCCTCCTTGGTTGACTCGGTACTAGCTTCTTGGTTCTTTAAGTCCTCCGATTCCTCCTTCGGCTGCTGCAGTTGTTGCTTCTCATCGATTATTTGATAATGTCCTGCCGGTCCAGCGGCGGCCACATCGTGCTCATTTTCCACAATCGTGTGCAGCATCCGATTGTTGTTGTTCGCTTGAAAATTGTGCTGACCATGGGCACTCAGTAGATTGTGCTTAATCTTCTCATAGGTCTTTTGCTTGGCCTTGAGCAGCATTTGGCCCACTGTAGCCAGTTGCTGTTGCCGTCTGCTGACGCTGCCATCGCGATCCTCAACCCCATCATCATTTTCAGCCATCGGCTGGCCATTCTCATACAAAACATGCTCTAACTGCAACATCTGTTCATGCTGTTGGCTGCAGGTTATGGTTGGCTCAGTGAATTGCTCTTGCTCGTGCTCTTGCTCAAAGTGCTGAAGAAGATGATGATGTTGATGGAGCGGATTCGCATCCAGGGCAATCAGAGCGGACACTGTGCGCAGTAGGGCCAATGCATTGGGCACTCTATTATCACAATTGTTGTGATTATTTTTGCTGTTGCTGCTGCTGTTGCATTGCATGTTGCTGCTGCTGCTGTTGTCGCGGTCATCATCATTTACATATACATCAGCATCATAGTCATCGTCAGCGCGTGGCAATTGCGGCTCATTTTCTGGCACAACATCTTCACAGGAGCAAATCAACTCCTGCAACCAACACCAATAACAGATGCATCAGTTTCTTGTTTGTATTTTTGTGTGAGAAGTGTGTTTAAGATAGTGTAGTGTGTGTGTGTGGTTTAGAGTGTGTATTCTTGTGCGGGGGACTTTGGGATTTTAACGCTTAAAACTAAACTACATTTGTCTAAGACAGAGAAGCAAAACGCAAAGAAAGCACGCAGCTTGTAAAAGTATTTGCCAAAACCACATTAAACTCTATAAAGCTACACTATAACCATAAAAAGGATATACTTTTTAGAGTACAGCACGTTTTAGAATTTTAAGAATATTGGTTTATCTATAATTCACAACGTTTAAATCGACAATAAATTCATTTTTTAAGGTTTTACACTCATTTACTCTAAATAAAATAAATTTTTTAGCAATTGCTATCTTCTTTCTTCGCTCAAGCAACATTTTAAATTTAAAACACGCTGTACTTCTTTAAAAAGGGTTTAATTGAATGAATTGTCCCATTTACTCACCTCATCTACGCCAATGCGACGACATGCCTCCAAAAAATTATCCACATTCCGACGACATCTGGCCATGGTCAACTTGTTCTGAAACACAAATGAAAGAAATTAGTAATGTCACTATCACTATCAATGTATATCCCTAAAACATTCCTAAATCACACTTACCACACCAGGCGATGGCACATGTATGCTGGCCACTGAACGCGGACGCACATAGTTGGCCAAATGGCAGAGTATAACACCGTCGGTCAGAGCTGAAGCAATATCTACAGGCAGGGTCATTTTCAAACGCGTTTCAATGATCTATTGAAGAATATATATGACATTAATAAACGTTCTTCATGTAATTCTAAATAGCATTCAATAGCACGTTCAAAATAGAACTTGAACAGGAAGGAAGGTTATGAAATCCCTCAGGCATCCCTTAACACTTACACTCCTCAGCTGCGACATTAGTTCTGTTTCCTCTCGCTGGCGATCAAACTCCCGCCGCATGGTGAAGCTCAGCTTCTCCGCGGGAATGTCATGGTTCCAGGTCACCGATCGGTGCGTCTTCACTGTACCCAGCTTTGTGGTGGAGCTAACTGGCGATTTAATGGTGGTGCTGGTGACAATACCCACAGTTGATGCCACGCCGCCACCACCATTGGACGTATTGAACTTGTTGGCGCCATTCTTCAGGGGACTGTGCGGCTTTACATAGCCCAAACAATCGGATGGAATGGCCGAGGGTATGCCAGACGAGGTAGCCGGCTTTATTTCCGTATTGCGAGAGGGTATCACCTTTTGGATGGGTTTCTTTGGTATGACAACATCATCGACTCCATTTCCGTTCCCGGTTCCATTCCCGTTCCCATTGTGGCCATTTTGGTTGCTGTTCTGATTCAGACTCGATTGTTTCATTATTGACTTTGGCAGTGTGTTGGATGACGCCGATCCGTTCGAGAGACTTGACGGCGGCGGAGAGAGATCCTCGTCATCGTTGGGACTATGATTGGCATTCGGATGTTTTTGTTTGTAGACGCTCATCTCCTGGTTGCGCTGCTGCTTCAGGGCTTCCTTGTACTCCCTGCGGAAAAGGTAAATTATAATTATTTAAATATCTTATCTATATTTTTAATATCTCCACTTACTTGTAGGTCTGAATATTGCCCAGATTCTTGTTGGACTTCCCGTTGGTGGAGTGCACAGTACGCTCCTGATGATCCAGCATGATATCCTCATCTTGATCCGGCGAGGATCCATTACTGGAGCTGTTGGAGTGCACATAGCTTAGCTTGCAGGGCGATGCCGTGGGACTCAGGGTTAGACTCTCATCCACAATTGTGCTGGTGCTGGAGGTGAGTGAGGCATCCATCAGATCCGCGTGCGAATGTACCGCACTCGGCAGAGTCCTGGGCAAAGTGGCAGCCGCCGAAGTTGAGACGCAGTGCAAAGGTGAATCTGTCTTGGACTTGGCTGGAACATCATGCGACCAGCGCTTGTCCAGGCCATCGCTCGTGCTATAGCCCGAGTCGACCTGATGCCTCCGCTGGTTATTACTACCCGTGGTGCTGGCCTCGAGAACATTGCCGCTGGAATTGTGACGAGGAGCTCGCCGCAGTGTGGTGTACCCATCGTAGTTGCCACCCGAACGCGAAACCCTTCTCATCCTTGGTGGCCTGCGTCTCCAGAAACTTGAAAACGTGCACCAGGCCACGCATGCAAAGCTGTAAAAAGCATTTAAGACAATTAGTTATGGATTTTAATTATAAAAATGTTTACTCACACTAGCTGGCGGCGAAGTTAGTGGATTATTCTCCAACTGCAGCTCCACCAAGGTGGCCATATGCCTAATCTCTAGCGGCAGACTAGCGATTCTATTGTTGCTCACATCGAGCGAGACCAGACTCAGGCAGGTTAACTCCCTGGGCAGATACATCAAGTGATTGCTCCGCAGCGAGAGCGAGCGCAGTGATCTCAACTCCCCCAGACGGACAGGCAAGTTGGCCAGTTGATTGTACGATGCATCCAGATCGGTTAACGTTTGATCCAATCGTCCCATCTCATCCGGCAGGGTAGACAACCGATTGTTGGACACGAGCAGCACCTGGAGGGGCAGGAAACATATCTCACGCGGCAGCGAGGATAACTGATTGCTGCGGAGATCCAAGTAAGTCAGCGATGATAACTGCTTCACCGACTCCGGAATGCTGCGTATCGTATTGTGATAAAGCAACAGTGTCTCCAGAAAGGCAAATGTCGTCACTTCTTCGGGCAGCTCACAGAATCGATTTCGGGAAAGATCTGTAAACGGAAGCAGAGGGTATAAATATTATATAAGTGGTGAATACAGCAGGGGTATATTTGTAGTCTAAGTGAACTCGAATCGAAACCCTTGCACCATTTGACACGCACTTTTATTCCCATTCCAATTAGATTTCCACTCCACGCCACAGTGGAGCGCCTGACCTCAATCTCCGGCAATTTGATTCGGCCCATTCCGAAGCACCAGTTCAAAAAGAACGTACTTAACAAGGGAATCGAATTGCTGATGCCCTCTATAAAAAGGTTTATTTTACAAAATGTGTAAAGTATTAAAAAATAGCATTCCATATGTATTTAGTTGATGATTTAGAGTTCAGTGCGATATTGTTTGATATTTAAAATACTGCTAAACCCAACATTAATATATATTAATATCCAATATTACCACTCGATAAAATCCCTTGTCTAGCATTATATGGTAATTATACTCTTCCATGATTTTCCGCATGAATATTAATAAATAAACAAAAGCTTATAAGCGCAAACTCCTGTTTACTTAAATTTATCTGAAGGAGACTCCAATATACCCCAATTCTGGGAATCCCCGCGAGAATTCCAAAAACTGGGCAAGTAAGTGCGTGTGGAGTGAGCAATTAATTTACTAAATGAATTTGCATGCAAAATGAGCGCAAACAGAACGAAAACTGTGGCTTGGTGGGGGCGTGGTCACACAGTGGGTTATGCATAAACCATTCAAACACAACAGGAAGAGAGATACACTGAAAACAATTACATTTTCTTTGATATTATACCTATCCCTATGACATTATTGTTTTAAAAGGAAATTACATACATTAAACATCTTTATGTGAAGTTTTTTTTATTCTCTTCTCAATAAATATATATTCTTAAATTTTAATTTCTCTGTATCAACACAAAGATGGCAATTAACATTAAACTGTGCGTAAAGTTTTGGGGAAAAACGCTTGGAAAATGCAACATTAAAATTTTATTCGTAAATTGTGTAGATCGAGGTGCGATAAGAGTGTAGAACGAAAGAGATTTAAGTTCGTTAAGGAATTTCTGTAGGTTGCTAAAGAATTAAGCCTTTAAGATATACATACGTTTTTGTTGCTATATAGAAGAATGACATAATACTTGAGCTTTGTTCTTAATAATCAAGAAAATGTTAAACTTTTCTTCATTTGAATTCAAATTCTTTAATAATAATGCTCTTTATTATGATACACAATTTTTCATCTCCGATTGCTTAGCATCGTCAGCATCTTTATCTTCTGTCAACCATTGAATGCCATCGTGTGGCAATGGACTGGAAATAAATGCCGAGATCCAAGTCCACTTCATTCGAGTGCCCAAAATCATTTGAAAGTTCAAGTTTAGACCACGATCATAGGTAAATATCTCTTTCTTTAACTCGTAATAGGTTGCACCCCTTATCAGGATGGGCAAAAATCTATACAAAAAGTATATGCTTAAGAAAAGAAGTAGCGTATTTAAGCCAAAGAGGATTGCAAATATAATCTCAAAAATTGCCGGGTATCAAGCTTTTAAATATCTCCAACAGATTTAATTTTCCATCTTCATTTAAATTTTGAATATCATAAACTGCATTGGCAAATGGTAACAACACAAACTTGTGGCTGCCTCCTCTTAGGGCATGGATAAAGACAAGATTGGCTATAAAGGCAATTAGTGAGGAGATCACCGAATAGATGATAAAAAAGAAAAAGTATCTATAGTTTGCATGACCGATGCAGGAACCGATGAAAGTGCAGTGATGATCCCGCTTGAGAACACACACATGACAAATCTTGCAATGATGGGATCGTGGTGGAGCCCAGATATCGCACTTGTCGCATTCATGCCAGTTTATAGGCTTTTTATTTTCACGTTCCAGTTGCAAGCTCATTATCCAGGGATCAATGGAGGTATCCGCTAGCATGCACATAAAGAAATTGGACATCAGATTGGAGAAGAGGAACATACCCAGCAACTGGAGTAATATGTAGCCGGGAGTGCCATAATCCAGCAATTCTGGCAGGACTTTTGTCATGAGAATATAGTAAGCTATAGGTATAAGTCCTATAATGGCAGACATTTGCATACACTCATTAAAGTCATTTGGCCAAATCTTGTCCACTGGGCGAAGCTTCATTGTAGGTAAAATCTGTGTTTATAAGTTTAAATAGTACAATTTTGGTATATGATTTAAATCGTAATATGATATTGTAACAATACTCATAACTCATAAACTCTTGGGTTACTGATTCTGTTTTGAATGTCTCAATTATATTATTTCGTTTCTTAATAACTGACATCAAACTTAGCATAAAAAAAGAATGAACTTGAATCTCTACCTTAACTCCCAGTCATTAAATAAGATTACCTTCGAACTATAATTAACATTATAGTTTATAGAGTTAACCAGTTCAAAAATATTCCCTACCCTATCAGAGTAAACCTTTATGATTTCACCTCAGATTTTCTTAAAATAAAATTCAAGTAACTACAAAAAACTGTGAGCACATGCTAAAACTTTTGAAGCCAAATGATTTTACTTCAAGTTTGTGAAGTTTCAAGTTTGCACTTAGGCAAACAGTGCGTATGAATTTGGGGAATCTTAAATGGCCGTATCGTAAAAAATTTACGAACCGCGGGACCAGTCTGGGCTTTCGCTCTACACCTCTTAACAATTTTACGCAACTTTTGCCAAGTTTGCACAGTGAAAAACCAGAAATGAGCAGAAAAACTGGCTAAGCTGATTGACTGACTGACTGACTGACTAACTGGCGGCAGTCTGGCGACAGCCGGATGTGATTTACGCACAGAGAGATGGTGAGATGGGATGCTTCCAGACCAGTCATTGTATCATTTTATATACATAAGTTATATTCCTAGGGAGTCCAGGACAAAGGCGTTGCATGAATGGGAACTTGACTTCGGTAGCTTCTAGACATTAACCTGCCACATGGAGAGTTTGCTGCTGATGATGTTGCATACTATATGAGCTTACAATGATGCAACATATACAATGGAGACGGGGGCTATACACTATGAGAAATATTTACACATTCTGGTTTTAATTTAAATATGTAAAGATATATATTTTTATGAAAAATTGCAAGACTATTCCTTTTCGAATAATACGATATTTCGCTTCTTGAAAAAGATTCCTTTTGTCATATGCAATTTTCCAGAGTGCAAGAGTCCTTTTTTTCTTGCATCCTGAAAGTTGAATAAACCCTAGGCGGCCAATGACGTTGGGTGTGAGGCGGTATAGAGTTGAAAAGTTGTCCTCGAGGATCCGGATGCGGATGCGGAAATTGGATTTCCCCGAGGCGGAGCCATCAATATAGGACAAAATGGGATAAGCAGCGACTTTGTACTTTGAACCTGTTCCGTGACGAATGAATATTTTCATCTCTAGCCACACACACCTGCTCGGTTCTGCTCTACTCTGCATTTTCTCTCACTGGCAATTTTCCAAGAGTTTCCACTCTATTTCTCCGCATCCTTCCTTGTCTCTTCTTTCCCCAGCTTTTGGCTTTTGGCCAACTTCAACGCAATGCGACAGGCGAAAATGTGTTTTTTACGTCTCGCCAAATAAATCAAATTGTTTGACGCCGAAAAAAACCAAAGTGCCATCACTTCACTGCCTTTTTGTTTTGACTTTTTTAATTTTCTGTTTATTTTTCCCACCTGAGGCCCCGCATAAGGTCATAAATATTGCAGAAATTGTCCTCAAACTGAAAATGCCGGCATTTAACCAAAAAACCAGCCTGTCAAAAGGGTGCGGCTGGGGATTTGAAGCCGACAAGGATTGTAGCAACGCCCAAATCCAACATTTTGGATTCAGACGACACGCATGACAATGGATCGAGATTATGATGTAAGTGAAACAGAGAAAAAGATAGGGATCGACCTAACTATGAACTCCCGTGAAGTAATATATGTAAGACAAACACGCCATAATTAAGGCAATCATATTAATTAAAGCCGAGATTAAAATCTGTGTTTAGGGCATTGAATTGATTCAAGGTTTCAATGTAAAGTTTAAAGTTGGGATCGAAAAATAAAGGGGTCTAGTTTTGATTACCATCTAATAACCATAAACCTTTTAAAATATTTAAATAGAAGTTATTAGACTATAAATAGCTTATGAGTCCATATTGCAATAGTTGCAATATGTTAAGTTGCCTTTTATCATAAATCTTAACACAATCATATAATATTGATAAGAGTTTATTTTATCAAAATGCAGGTATAATTTATGATAAGATATTCAGAAAGTATACAGCATTTATGGGCCATAAACATAGATAAATTTTATCGAAAAATGCAGGTAAAATGCAGTACAGAAAACCTTTAGAAATTCTTCCTCCGAATACACACATTTAAATAACTTTAATATTTAAAAAATAAATTTTGTTAAATATGATATTTTATAAAGTTCATATGCTCCCTGCATACCTATATCAGGTAAGGTTTAAAAAAAGGGACACATGTGGCAGACATTGACTGGCATTTGGGGACTTTGAAGGGCGTGGGCCCAGTCCGGAAGCAAACGAAAAATTAAATTGATGGCAAATGGAGGTTTTGCTCTTTTCCTACCGCCATTTCCCTCCTCCCTATCTCCCAGAGCTCTCTGGTCTGGCCATGTGGGCGATGGCTTCTCTAGCGATAGACCATGGAGCACGTGCCATAGAGACAGCGACCCCAACCAGTCCATACTTTATTTGGCTTCGGGTCTTTAATTTTTTTTTTTGGCTTTGCCGAATATGAGTGGCAATGTGGAAGCCACTACATGTCCGTTCATTAATATTGACTGACCATTAGGCAAACGAAGGGCAGGCCATTGGGGCTACAGTGGATTCCATTGATGGATTTATTGAAATTAATTTCTTTCAGTTTTATTGCTGAAATTTTGTAGGCCTAGTAGAGTGGGGTGTCGACATTGTGAGTCATTAAGAAAAAGGAGGAAATATATTGAATTACAAATATTAAAAGGGAAAA